CAGTTCTGATAATGTACTCTTATATATGGACACTTCATCACACACATGACACGGCTCCGTGTATAAATATAGATTTTACAGTCGCAGAACTGTATCGTACAGTTAGAGACATAAATAAACCAACCTGTAATTAGAAATGAAAGATATATCAATATTCATTAATCGAACTTGTTTCCGCATATATAGCTGGTATTTTCAGTATCAATAGTATTACAAAAGTATCAAATCGTAAAAGTTTGTCTTTCAAAATCTTTATTCACTGTTACATGTGAAAAGGTTAAAAACAACTTGACACAAAATTCATTAACTTATGGCGAAAAATGTCAGTACTGTTTTTTTAAGTAGAAAGAAAGAATTATAAAAGAAGAGTTTGATAATTGAAAACATCGGTCTTGAACGAAAACTTCCCTTTGAACTCCAATTCATCTGTCTTTATGTAAAATATTAATTATCAACTTCAACTAACTGGTATCGGATTTTTTTTATACATTTTATATATTAAATGTTAACTTCCTAAATGATTTGAAGTATAGGGGAGGTAACTCATCATTGAAGTTGAAACAGGAAATTGCACAATCACCTACTATTAAGTACATATACACAAATTGATTACAAAGTGGTCGGAATGAGCCGTAGCGCAGTAGCTATTTGGCAGAAAAAGGCCTTTACTCAAGAGAGTGATAATCTAAGTATTTGATCTCATCGCGGTCTACAGGCGACTTCGGTGGTCAATAGTCCGTGATGAAAACAACTGCGCTAATTCGATTCTCATTTCTTTTCCCCACCGACAGTTTATATTATTTGATTGATTTATTGATTGATGGTTTATCTATCTATTATGAGTAATTATATTGGTGAATGCTTGTGATATAGGAACGGTCAAAAGTTATTTATGTTCATGCTCTTTGAGCAAAACCTAAAAATATTATATTTCTAAAAGATATTTATGAATAAAAGTATATTCTTTTGTTTCACATTATTTTCAACTCTCTGTTGTGGAGGAAACTGTTTTGTTATAATTTGGTAACATTATTATTTAATGATAATGAATGAAATACAAAGACAAGATTCGATACATCCCAGTTCGATGTTCACTCTTGTATATAATTCTTTTTTTCATTTTTTTTCTCCGCAATTTATCACGTCAATATTCCAAAACATTTTATTTTTATTCTGAATATGTCATACGATTTGAATGTGCCTTTTTCATTTATTTGGAGAGTCAATGAAACAAATTCCAGTTGCAGGTGAGCTAACTCTAACATTCTTAAGCTTGTAAGGAATCTGTGCTGACTTTTTTTCCTTTTTATTATTTTAATAAATCATAACATAATAACATAATCATATTCCGAAATCATAACACAGTGAGAAACACATTATGTGATAGCTCTACAATAACATAAAACAGTACCTATAGATATAAACCTGTAAGTTTGTACCCATTGTGTGTATCCTGACCGGATATTACACAACCTACTAGTAAGTATATATATACAAATCGATCACTTTGTAGTCGGGGTGAGCCGTAGCGTGGTGGTGATATTCATATGAGACTGAAGCATCTGATCCAGACTCGATTGACAGACCAGATATGGTGGTCTGTTGTTCGGGGGACCACCAGGCCAATTCGACACTCACTCTTTTATACATTTTTCTGTATTGATGTTATTTTCTTGAATTGGTTGTTTTGAAAGAAAATACTTCATTTTTATGATCAATGTAGCTATATGTCATTTATTCTTCATATACATATTCTTAATATATCATTGTAAAATAGTTTAGAGGAATTTGATATTTTTATGTGTAGTAATACTTAACAAACACTTAATAAACAAATTGTATACACCCTGTATATAAAAAATAGAACAGCACTGGCAATGACGTCATTCTTTCTCCTTCAGACACGGGGATTAGTGGGATTGAGAAATACGAAACTGAAATGTGTGTTCATAGTTTTATGAATGGGAATACATCAGCTATATTTACAGGATTAATTAGTGGAATTGTGCACTTTTGGGAAGAATTGCTATTCGCCTGTAAATGTAAATTGAAATGAGAAAAGTATTGAAGTCAGTTGATTACATTCGGAAGTATTGATAGCGTTTGACAGTCGCAACAAGCTAATAAGTTCGGTACTTATTCATATCGGACTAATCTACTCGGTGTGATAGAAGGAAGGCTATAATTATTTTACTCATTTGTCTGGTTGCAAAGCACTTTTTAATCGTGAATGATATAGGTAGCAGTACACAGTTTCTCGGTGTGGCCATGGGTGATTTTTTTGCTCATTAGATTACCCCATTATAAAGGTTTTAATTAAAAATGGAAAAAAAAATCCTTGCTAAAATTGGTCCTGTCATGTTAAAGTGGACAATGTGGGGTTTCATTTTTTTCAGGATAATATTTTAGCTTTGTGTTGGAGATTACTATTTGGGCAGTCTCGAATCTGTGTCTACGCACCAAAAACTATCTTTACAGGAAGTGAAATTTTCATAGTGTTCACATGTGGTCATGTTATGAAGAATTTCCGAGTTGGAATTTGCTGAAATGTAAGTACTTTGTTACCATGACTGTGTTGTTGATTGTAAGATAGGTGTTTAGAATTAAATTTCTCCTAGAAAGTTGTAGTGTTGGGTTGGAATTAGCAGTATTTTTGCATTTTTAGCATTTTTTCAGTAGGTAACCATGACAATCAAATGTCAGAAATCAGAGGAAATTTTTTTTTTACACAAATTTCATCCCTCTACTGTTAATGTAATTGTTATATAGTTTATAAATATATATACATGTAATGATGTATTTTCCATAACCAATCTGCTATACCTGTATATCTCAAACATGACAAATAATTTCAGGAAAAATGCAAATTAACTGTTTACTGCTACCTATATTTGAAGTGAGGAAATTTACCTTTGAAACAACTAAGTCATTAACTTTGAGAAATTAAAGAATAACATCTGAAGTAGCTTATACTCTTATTTATTCAAATGAATAATGATATGAAAAAATGGTGAAAAAATACGAATTACTGAACTTTATAGATCAACTTTAGCAGCGTTATGTTATAAAGGATATGAAAGAGTTTTGTATCTGAACAGCTTTGTATTCTATTGATATACAGATAAAAGACTCAAAATTAAAGAAATATCTTGATGTCCAAAGAACAAGAGAAGAAGTCCAATACACCGTTCAATTTCACTGTTTACTGGTAAATACTGAAAGCATTTTAATCATGTATATAAGTGTACTATTATATAGGTTTTTTGTAAGAACAATTCAAATGAAAGCATGAAAAGGCTGTTTTTCTTTTTCTTTTTTTTTCATTATAAAATGTGAAAATATAACAAAATCATGCAAGAAAGACTATTGACCTTTATAAGTAAGACAAAATAACATAAAACAGACATATTGTGAAATGTAGATAGTTATCTTATCATGTTAACTATTGATGTATCAGATCATGTCAAATGTTTTGAAAGCATTTAACATCATTGGATGATGTTTTCGGTCTAATACGAAAATGTTTTTTATAGGTTTTTGTTTGGATATAGTTCGCCTGCTTGTTTTTATGTCCGATTGTAACTTTATTGATGCCTGTTACTTCTGAAGCTGTTATGCTTGTAATGTATCACATATTTCAGCAGATTTCAATGTACCATTATGATTCAATTGTATCTACTATTGTACAAAAGAAAACAAAGACAATTAGCTCTTTCAATTTAAAAACAGTTCAAAAAGTTATAAAATATGACCTTTAAGCAAATGAAACATTGACTTTCCGTAGATAATAGTGATATTCCAATCACCACATTGCGCTTTATGAAAATTATTTTCACATATTTTAAAAATGTCCAGTACCAGATTTATAATATACATCATAATCCTGATGGAAAGTTACACGAATTAAAGTATAAGGGAGGTAATTCGTTATCTAAGATAAAAGCAGGAAATTGCACAAGTACGTAAAAGTAGATACATATATATAAATTGATGACAGTGTTATCGGAATGAGCCGTGGCGTAGTAGATATTTGGCACAGATTAGCCCCTACTCTATGTTGAGTGAAAAATCTCAGTACATGTATTACATCTCTTCGCGGTCTACAGGCGACTTCGGTGGTCAATAGTCCGTGATGAAAACAACTGCGCTAATTCGATTCTCATTTCTTTTTTTACCAATAGATCTCATTATATATATTCATTTCTCTATCCATCTACTTTTATTTTGTGTGTGAGTGAATGTATTGGCGAATCCTTGCAAGATAAAATGTTGAAATCATCAATAAATAATACTGATAGCATGAAATATTTAAATTTATCGACGCTTTTGCTTAATTCATTATCGATTTCAAAAGATTTTAATCAATTTCATATTGATCCACTGATAATATTTTCATCAGTTAGGCGATGCAAAGATACTGTTTTGTTCTTTGAGCAAAAATTTTAAACTGATTTATTTCTTACGATATATATATTTTCCGCACTGTCTTTGTTAGGATAAGAATGGTATATTGTTATATATAACGTTAATCTTTGGTACATTGTTTTACTAACATTTTGTTTTAAGATGACTTTATGGTATTTTTTTCAATGACAAAACAAAGGCCTATTCGATATACTATACATTATTTTGTTCAGACTTGATCATATTCACCATATCCAACTATTCTGAAACTTCCCAATTTCAATTGCTGAATAAGTGGACAAAGAAATTCGTGAATCAAGACCACTCTTGAAATCCACGAAAATAAATTCAAATGAAAGCAATGATTTATCGGTGTCGAAGACAAAAGGTACTGCAGCGCTGATCATCACTGTCATTCAGATTAAAGTATTTAAGATATCCTTCTGGTGCAGTTCTTTTCTAATTTTCTTGATTATTGGTAACATAGTGAAACATAGTCTGCATCTAAACCCAAAAGGGAACACGGTAGGTATCCATTTTATAACTTAGAATGGCTAGTAAACATTTTTGGAGACATCATGAATTCATGTTTGCTGTCAAAATGTCACATCATGATATTTTTGTGAAAATTTCAGGCGAGGAAACGTTTCAGCCAGATCACTGTTAAAACTACCGTTCCTGTATCTCAGTGACGCTAATCCCCGTGTGGTCAGGGGTCCTAGAATAGAAAAACAATACGTTGGTTATATCCTCAAATCAGTCACATCAGAAAAGTAGATGTTAGATGTTTCCCACATATACTTTTATCTTAATTATTCGATATCATTTTTCAGCACCCCAAAAAACTCAGTATGTTGAATATTTCTTTTTCTAAACTGTCTTGTTTCTTTACGAATACCGGACAATATATTTTTCATAATCAAAACAACAATGAATAGTTTACATTTTATTTCCAGGGGTTTTTACTTTGACCAAATAGTGAAAATGGTGAAAAGTAGACAGCTTATGATAAAATTCATTGTATGACCAACAAAGAGTTTCATAACTCTCATGAGTATTACTTAAAGATTTTGGAAGATCCGGAAAAAATGGAGTCATCGTAAAAGATAAAAATATCATATAGATATTAAACACGTGTACAATGACATATAGTTCGTATCCATATTTATATATATGTACATCGCGTTCTATGTTGTTTTTGTTATGTTTTGTTTTGTTATTTTGGCTTTTATTCAATGTTATCAATATTTGATAATCTGATTCAACGTGTTATAGATAATTACCTCCCTCAAGATCACAAACGAATCGCACCCTGAAGTATTTGTATGTGCCTGGGCAAGGATCACCAAATATGTCACTGACGGCGTTAATGATACAAAACGACCGTTTATCGCAGGTGTCCTTCACCTTCTGCGTCACAGATGAAGCTCGACATTTGTCCGTATTAATTTCACCATAATCACAAATCTTTTTGTTAATTCGTCCGTAGAATGCACTATATATGTAAATGACTTCGTTCGGACCACATTCTATTCTTCCATGATCCCCCTCACAAAGGAGCATTTCCCCGCGTGGTATTCCTGAAACGAAAAACAGAAAGAAGGTCTTGCTAGCACACTGCTGCAGAGCTTGCTATTTTGGTGAAGTTGTACTTCTCGGTAATTGCAAAAATTATGAAATTAAATCACAAAAAATATCCTTCGATAAAAGATGAATAGAGAAAACTATTAAAGTGTTTCATCTTTTCCTAGAAAAAAAAAATGTTTTGATTAAAATTTTTGGTAAGACTTCGGAATTTTTTATCATCAGAAATAATAACCCTCACAGAACATGGTAATAGTTTCGTTGTTTTTCGTATAATTGATTTTGTGTTTGCTCTTTTCAAGAAACCTTTCTTTAAGATAACGTTTGAAAAATCCTTGTGCACTATTAACCAACTAATTCATGTACCAACGAGAAAACTTTTCGGGAAAGTTAGACTCCACGAAAATATACATTAATGTACAATATCCTACGTACGACTGTGATGTATACCTGATTTCAAATTGTGTTACTATATGATATGTTCATATACTATTTTTGGATATTTCCGTTTACTTGCTTTTATTTTTGTTGGTATCTTATTAACGATAAATGACTGATGTTAAAGCGTGTTTGCTATAAAACAAATGTTTTAACATCGAATACGTCATACTGGCGAGTAAGTTAGCTCTACCTCACACTTGAAGCTCTATTCGTTATGTGAATGGAAATACGGCAGGAACAAGTCCTAAACATATGACACTTCAGATTCAAGTTATTTATTTGCTATATACATTTACCGATGCAAGTCGAATACATTTATAATGAGTCACAGACGAAATGTTCGTCTTGTTTATAGAGGTTATCATGGAGTTGCTATTTTGTGTTATTTTTTTTAATTATTATTTTTGGATCATGATATATATCTGGTTAGATTATACTGATTATCTATGTAAACGAGTTGTAAACATGTGGACGAGTTCAGGACTGTGACATTTCAATGACACGTTCGTTCATAGCTCAAGGTGACCTTTACCTAAGCCATCCCTTGATAAAGAGTTCACACAGGCATATATATAAAATGGAGGTTATATCGGAACGCTGTCAATCTCTCTCGGCAAAGTGTATTTCTTTTTTGTCAGTAAAAAACAAATGTATTATATAATGTTAGAAACATTTTCTGCTAGTAACCTCTTATTGCTTCAAATAACTATGAATATTTACAAAAATATCCTATGTCAATACCCTACTCACCAGCATTCACCACCTATATACATGTAGGTGTAAATGTGCGGTTTGTAATATAATAGAGATAACATGAGCTAAGGTTTCTGGATCTCGGAGGCCTGGTTGTTCTCCACGTATATGCAAATAAGCTGTCAATAGTGCATTAAATTTCAGCAGCATTCCTCTAAACCGAAGCCATATTACGACCTGTACACAATGAATAATCGTGAGAAGACTAGCACTCTGAAGGCTTTGCTCAAGATATTGAATGGATAAAATTGTTGTTTTGAAAGAAAAATATCGATTGAACAACAATTGTTTATATACGAATGAAACAAATTTATAAGTGTGAACAAGGATTTTCTCACAAGAATGGCTGCCAATTGAGCATGCAGATTGTTAAAGGATATTTTTCACTTAAGACGGTTAAATCTGTTTGATACAGGCCAGCGGAGCGTGTATAAGTTTTAGGTATGGAATTCATCACTATAAATATGTAGTTTGTGGTGTCATTTGCCGAAATATATCAGGGAACAGAACGATCAAATGAGATGAAAATGTTTTGCCACGATCATCGGAAAGGATAAAAAAAAAAAGCACAGACATGATTTTACGCAACTAGGAATTAAAAAAAATAACACTTTTACCCTAACCACAAATACGTACAAAAATCAATAAAAGTAATTTTGAAAAACCTACTTTTTACCAGACCTTAATTTATGGTTTTAATCACACGTTCCTAAACACAATATTCTTAAGACAAATTTCATGATGTGTTATTCATAAAATTAAATTTCCTGTTAATTGCATGCCATCAATTCCATAAAACCCCTTGTTGTATGGACAGGATTATTTGCAGTCATTTGTCAGTATGTGCTACCGTTTACAACGCCAGTGTGCGGTCTATCTACTTGATATGTGCTTTCAGCAAGTGAACAAAATTTTTGCATCGATGAATCACTACACAACATAACATAATAATATCACATACAACCCGATCCCTACTCTTTATAGCTGTAGGAATTACTTTTTATATAAAATGTGCAAACGTGAAATGCATAAAATTATAGTATACTAATGCAAAAGAGCGGAAGACACGTTCATTATTAGGAACCTACGTTGTAAATAAACGATGTCAGTATTTACTAGAAGTCTTTGTTGTTTAAGTTAATCATCTATTAAGTACTTACCTTGGCCGACCACCAAAAGCAAGGGACATAAGGTCAGGAGAATTGATATCAGCATCGTTTTCCCCACCACTACCAACGTATACCCGGATACTCGTATGAACAGATATGTAACAGTCACTCCCTGGGACAAACGCATGATTTTTTTTTATCTTTCTGCTGATTTATTTCTTTAGATATTTTTTTCGAAACTGTGTTGTTTATTTGGAAGATAATATGATACTTTGATTACGTATAAACAGATTACTACGAAAATACCCATATGACAATAAATCACTTTCCTAACTCAAATTCAATAAATATATGGCATTTATGAATTAAAGAAAGATCTACACGGAAGAGTGGGCGTATATTGCTACATCGATGACACCTGCCATGTAAACCTTGGTCAATGTCACGTTCTCAAATGAGAACAAGGTATGCGACAACGGAACCAACAAGCAAACACACGAACATCAAACACGTCCAGCTTCATATCGCACAAAGTAATGGAATGTTTGTCATTGAGATCACTATGACGACCGTAAAACTCTCCCATCATTTTCATCAATTTCATTAAAAATTACTTTCTAGGATCCCAAAAACAATTACCTTAACAAAAAACGACTAATAAGTATCTAAAGCCATGATTTGAATATCAAAGAATATGAAAGATTATTTTTCATAAGAAATTTATTCACTGATATCGTAGTAATTTTCCAAACATCAAATTATAAAAGTATATAAAGTATATCAGTCAGTTGCTTATATTTGTTTATGGTTTACGAAAAGCTAATAATACACACCAATATTCAAAATGTGACACCGTGAACTCACGTGGTGTAATTTAGATAAAACACATCAACATTTTTTATAATTACCTTTTTGCTCATTACAAGTTTATACCTGTGTATAAGTGTGTATGGTGTGGGAAAATGTCGCATTCAATTTTCTAGCAAGGTCTCGTTTATTTGCATGATAAACCATGCATGGAAATGATAGTTTTAACCACGGAGAACAATTTGAAAAGGAATGTGTATGTATAGTTAGTTTTGATAACACGTTATATACTTTTACAATATTTTAATGTTTTAGATAGCAGGATTATCAAACGTGATATTTTCCATATAAACAAGCATCTAGTTTAGTCATTACAATCATCAAATAACCCTATCCTAAAGCTAATAGCAGAAGAATGTGTTGTAATGATTGATTCACTGTGTTTACATGATATGTTGTATTGCCATGTTGATAATTCAGTATGTTTTCGGTAAAACACCTCTGATGGAATATTGCAAATCGAGATTTTTTAGATGTTGTTACTATAGTGTTTACCTCACTTGAAAGCGTTTCACAAAAAGTAGACGGGTGGTTAAATATGTTTTTTGTTTCATATTTTCTTTAAAAAAAAGGGGGGGGGGAATTACAATATGCAGGTACCGATCATTACAAAAAGTGGAAATCTCCGCGGCTGTTTCGAAAAATATATTAATCGTGACTGAAATGTTTTGGTTTGGAAGCATTCTCGAAATATCTGCGAGTAATGATGGACATGAGTGCCTTCAATTTTACCATATATTCGAGAATGAAGGTGGTAGACACGTTTTAATTCATTCGAATTTCAGAATTTATACATGTATATGACTTTCTTTTAAAATTATCAGAAATATGGAAATAACGACATTGATTGAAATACAGGGGAATTGCACCATTTTGATCTTTTTATATAGGCTTTTGTGATCACTGATGAGTCATAGGCGAATGAAACAGTTGTATGATACAGTTTAATTCACTACTTGGCTATACTGTATCTGATTCTAAATTCATATTGAGAGGTGTTGTTATTTTAACTGTCTTTCGTACAATCTTATGACACCTTTAAACCTTATACACAAAATCAAGTCAACGAAAATGTAACTTTTGTAACAGCTTCACGAATATACTTTATTTTCAGTACGTGTTGTTCTTACAGTGATTAAGCTTTTTGAGTTCATATTGCCAACAATGACGATACAATTATAAAGCAAAAAAGATTACAGTTACACATTGTCTCTTGAAAATGGGCCCGCGTTGAAAATGGAATCCAGACTTAATCTCAACAGGAGTCAAATTTCAACGCTTCATCGGCAAGAGCTAAACGGTAATCCGCTCTAGCTAGGGTCTTAGATTTATAACTGAACGTAATTTTAATCCTTCATTCGATTGATTTCCTGTAGTTTCTACCCAATAATTGACATCCTGATATAAGGTTTATACTAAATATTCATTTGTCACACCTCAACAAAAATTTTAATGGAACTTGTCGTAAATTGAAAAAAAATACTTCATATAATAACGATTCAGATATTGCATGAGGATTTCACGCTTAAAATTGTTTTACAGACTATGTTAATTTTGACTACACTTGCTTGCATGGCGATCATTACATTTTATTTACAGATTCTAAAAACAGTTGTATTATAATAACTCATTTTACAATGTATAACACACGGAGGAATGCAAGTTTGTCATGTCGAAGAAAAAAAACTTTCTAGATATATAACAAATAGAATATATTTGATAGGATGCCATTGATCATTATCATTATTATTCAATATTGATTTAAGCCATTAAAATGTCTAACAATATTTTAAATAAGAATGAATCCATATGGACAGTCTGATGAGGTGTCTTTGATATATACAATGTTTTTCATATGTTAAAAAGTATTGAGCTCGCCCAACGTATCTAGTATTACTTTCATAAACATTAAACTTATAATTCAAATATACTGCCATATTACCTTTAGTATGAACTCAAAAACTAAAATGACATTTTTTTTAGATAGAAGTATTCTATGGTTATCTCTGTTTGATTATTATCTAATATTACTCCGTAACTTATATAGTAGTTTGTGCAAAATATAGTTCGATCACGAGAAACGACACTCCTTCTTGATGTCGTTACACACAAGTATGTATCCTGATATGATATCAACAATTAAATGTACTTTGGAAGCACTTGAGATACCTATGACACTTCCTTTATGGCGAGGTACAAATTGTTACAATATTAATATGCTATTAGCATAACGCGTGAGCCTCACTTGTAAACAGCAATTGAAGTCATTCTTAACTAGTAATTGTTCTTCTAAAATCCGTTTCAATGAAATTTACAACACCATATTAAAACATGTAATAAAGACAGCCTTGAGAGAATTGATATCTTGTGTGCCTTACTAAAATGCAATTTCATTTAAACGCAAAAGAACCGCCTCCTCAAAGTCGATTTGATATCGTATTAAGAAGCCAAAATGGTTGCTTAGCGAAATTTGTACCGGACAATTATTCATTTTTTATATACGGAAGTGATAAAGTTTATTACTTTTTTAGTTTATTACCTAATTCACCAGCCTTAAACTTAGTTTAATAATATTAGTTAGTCTGTGTGGTAGAGGTAAAGTTTAGTCAGGTGACCTTATTCAACAACATTTAGTTTTGCTTGATGACCTAATTTTAGCAATATTTGATTTAGTTAGTTATCAACATTTAGTTTAGCTTCAATACCTAATTTCATAGCATTCAGTTTTGTTTAATGACCTAAGGAAACATGTATAAGAACCATGTGGTCTAATCCAGAGATTTTCAGAGAACTCAGAATCATGTTATTTAACAAAATATTTAGTGGAGGATCGATGTTTGTGTTCCCATGTGGTGGTAGTTTCTTTAAAACAGGCAAAAGTAGTGATTACAAAAACAAGACCAGAAGACATTTACTTTGATCATTGAGTATTTATCAAGATATGTAAAATGATACATTCGAATTAATATTTCAGAGTTGGTAACAAATGATATCGTATTATGAAGTTGCAGGTAGAAACATCGATTGTAATCTTCGATACTTCGATACTAAAAATGATAAATATGTACTTGTCGGACTATGTTTCTTACATCTCTCTTACAAAGAGCGTCAACACTAGAAACATTTCCTGGCAGCTTCATATTTTATAGACTTTTTAAGTGATGCCATGAGCGCCAAGTGGTGGTTCTTTTTCTATGGTGGCCGTTAAGGGCAGGATATCAAACATAACATTCTCGCTCCCTCAACCTCATGCTAACAATGGAACGAAACGACATTACAAGGCTAGAAACCGAGACCACGGTGGTGAGGCAGCGAAGGAACAACAACACGACAACAAGGAAACAAGGCCAAATTCGCTTGCTGTCTTGCTCTCATCGCTTCGATCCCTGTCAGGCATCTAAGTGTCCCGTCACCAGTGCATAGAAATAGATATATGCAATATACATATATAAAACTCTCTTTCGTGTTGTTAGTACTTTGTATGAATTTTATATTCTATGGATATAATAATAGGTTAATAGTATAGATAATCAATTAACTAATTTTAACAATAGCATTATAAACAGACAGAAATCGCCAAATAATGAGTACACATATATATATTAAAATTAAGTGTTGCACTTGCCTATATGTAATTAGGAATTATACACCAAATTGTGGTATATGAGATTGCATACTACAATTTACGACGATTCGCTCTATGTAGAGCGCAATAAGGTGATAGAAATTTCCGCCAGTCACTCCCTGTCTCAATATACTGATATATCTTAAGTAAATTGACTTGGATTTTTAATATCATGCGACATTTTACATGTGTGTATCAACAAAGTTGTATTCATATTAACTTCAACTTCAGCATGGCTTCACACACGTTCCCATGCTCGAACGTATACACACTAAACGTAATTATTATAATTGCCTTTTACCAACGAGCATAGTAAATAAGCTATGTTAATTACATATTTTGACTATAATGTTAGGCATAAAAACAATATCATATGAAAATGAAGAAACTATTTACGAAACGAAAAAATGGTTCTTCTCTTTTTGTTCTTGATAAACGTCAAATCCATTGGTCCATATTGAAGTAGTCATTATGACGCTACATACCTGTTTGTCAATCAATGTGTCAGTAAAACTTTTTGGATATAGGAGTTATATCATTTGAAAATCGATAGAGTGTCGGCAAATAAGGTCTATACTCTTTGACTTCTAGAAAAGACACATAATTCTACTATA